ATTTGCAGAAAAAATGAAACAAGATCTATACCTCACACCATACACAAAAACTAACTCCAGATGGATCAAAGACTTAAATGTGAAACCTGAAACTATAAAATTACTCAAATAAAATATAGGGGCAGATTTAGGGATCCTTATATACAGCATAAATAGACTATCAAGCATAACCCAAAATGCACAAACAGTAGACGATAAACTAGATGAATGGGACCATCTAAAAATTAAATTTTTATGTGCTTCTAAAGACTTCTCCAAAAGAGTAAAAAAGATAACCTACAGATTGGGAAAAATAGTATTTGGCAATGGCATATCTGATAAGGGACTTATCTCTAAAATTTATAGAAAACTCCAACACCTCAACAACAAAAAGACAAATAATCCAATGAAAAAGGGGCCGAAGACATGAATAGATTTTTCACCAAAGAGGATATTCAGGCGGCCAACAAACATATGAAGAAATGTTCACGATCATTAGCCATCAGAGAGATGCAAATATGAAAATAAAAATGAGACACCATCTTGCCACTAGTTACCAACTAATGCAATGCACTGCCGTGGAGTCAGATCCAACTCATAGAGTTGGTCTATGTGTCTGTCATTGTACCAGTACCGGGCAGTTTTGACTACTGTGGCTATGGAGTAGGTTTTGAGATCCGGCAGTGTGAGACCTCCTACTTTGTTCTTCTTCTAAGTGCTTTGCTTATCCAAGGTCTCTTTCCTTTCTATACCGAGGAAGAGGAAGACATAGGCAGGTGAATGGGAGGTACAGACAACAAGGATGAACCCTTTTGGATATACCGTACTGCATTGTCAGTGACGGCAAACTTTGATATACAGGTGGATAGATGGGTGGACAGACTGAACGAGTAAGTATGTCTATGCAGGGGGGAGTGTGCCCAAGACCATGTATAGGGTTGGCAAACAATGTTTCTACAAATGTATTTGTATGTCTTGTAAGAATTTCCAGGTATATAGTAGAGATGACAGGAGCTCTGGTAGCATAGTGCCTGAGGCACTTAACTGCTCACCAGAAGGCTGGCGGTTCAAACCCACCAGCCACTCCTAGGAAGGAAGGTTGGGCAGTTCTACTTCCGTAGTGGCTGCCTCGGAAACCCAAGGAGGGGTCACTATGAGTCGGGGCTGACTCCATGGCAAACAACAACAACAACAGTAGAGCTGACAAGGGACAAGGTTGTAGTCACTTCTTGGCCACAGACCTGCAGGGAGGGAGTAGTTGAACCTGTAATCACAGGGGACATCAAGCTCAACTGGCTAACATACTACACAAAAACATTGTTCCACATCCTACTTTGGCGAGTAGCAAATGGGATCTTAAAAGCTTGCAAGCGACCATTTAGATGCAATGATGGGTCTCTCCTCATCCAGAGCAAAGAAGAATGAAGGAAACCAAAGACGCATGGAAACAACTAGTCCAAGGAACTGCTACACTATGTGACCTCATAGCTTATGACTATGACACCAGAGCTAGACAGTGGTGCCCAGCTACCACTGTCAACCACTTGGCGGGGGACCTATGTAGGAGATCCTGGATAGAGTGGGAGAACAATGTGGAACAAAACCCAAAATAACAAAAAAAAAAAAAGGGACCAAGTTTGCTGGTCTGACAGAACTTGGTGGAACCCCTGAGACTATGGCCCCTAGCTGCCCTTCAGTTCTGGAATTGAATCCATTCCTGTGGCTTCGAGCCAAACAGAAAACAAACATATGAGCTGCACATTTACATGAGGTAGTTACACTCCTTGGACAGATTAATCATGGGAGAATAGAAGGGCTGTGTATGTACAGGGAGACAGCTTAGGGGGCAGAAGTGCATGGGAGGGAAAGACAGAGGGAAGAGGTAGCTATAGGGAGGAAGTGGGAGAAGAGCTGTTGCACTGTGGGAAATTGCAGTCAATGTCATGAGACAAAGTTTATGTGAGCTGCAGTATGGAAAATTAATTTGCTCTGTAAACAGTCACCCAAATCACAACAAACATTTAAAAGAAATTTAGTGTATTTTATAATTTTTTAAATTTCCTCTCTATATTTTTTTTCAAGTAAACACACATAAATAAAAATGTTTTTTTCTATTCTATACTGCTGCAAAAAAAGAGAGATGAGAACTGAACTAATTATTGGTAATAACAACTTTTCATCATAAGATTGATTTAACAAATTCATTTATCCACTAACATTAAAAACAGGAACCTGCATTTGCTTCCAGTGAGTGAGCAGAGAGGTTCAACATGGACTCATCTTACTATCAAATTCATTTCACCACTTTAAAGAAAAAAAAAAAAGCAAATAACTGGCTACGTCTTAAAGATTTCGAGCAGGTTTCTAAGCAATTATTATTTGAAATAGTTGCTCACAAGCCATACAATTTAGTCCAAAAATTACACCTGGATTCTACAACATGAACATGACTATCATGAAAAGCACAGAGACAAGTGGACTAATATTAGATTGAGAAGGATAATAATCCTCAGCTAATAGTTCTTTGGGAGCTCTGGTAGCATAGTGGCTAAATCACTTGACTGCTAACCTGAAGGCTGGCAGTTCAAACCCACCAGCCACTCCTCGGAAGGAAAGTTGGGCAATCCTACTTCCGTAGTGATACTGCCTCGGAAACCCAAGGAGGGGTCGCTATGAGTCGGGGCCGACTCGATGGCACATAACAACAACAACAACAATAGTTCTTTTGAAAATTCTGAATAAGGTATCAATCCCAAAGCAATCTAATTCAAATCACAGGATTCTGATAGGAATATTTTACATGAGAACAAATGACAAACTCATTTTCAATGATTCTACTAATCAAGACTTCTTAACTGAGATCAAACAACATTAGGGTATTTTTAGATAAAAAGTTACGTTGAAGTTAAATCCTGGATGACTAGGAAGACACCTGTAACTATCCAATAGACTATGACTCGCCAGAGCGTCCCAGGGTTAGAAGACGGATTATCTAAGAAGGGCATAATGAGGCAACAGGGGGGTTCCCCAGCATTTACTTACAGGAGAATCTCACAGATCCTGTGACCTTTTTGTCCCATAGAATCCAGATACTTAAGACACTTTTTTCTTAGGTCTATCACCTATAATGGAAGAATACAACAATCAGAAACGTCTTAACTGTAACAGAAATAAAATTTTCATTTCTAAGAACAAAAACATCTTTTTAAAAAATCAATAAATGTATCAAGATGAATGGCTAAGATAGTTTTGTTTTTTTTTTTTTAAAAAGCAAAGTTAGAAATCATCACAGATGATAGAAGTTTTATTTGTACAAAATTATGTATTTCTATCTCTAAAGAAGGGCCTGGAAACTTACTCACTGGAAACTCACTCTTCCCAGTGTGATAGGATTTTGTTTTGTTTTGTTTTCTTCTTTATACCTTTACTCTTCTGTCATCTATTAAAACTCTATCATCTCATAAACAAAACTAAATAAATAATCCATATGTGTACTAAAACCCTTTCCTACTGAGAATGAAAGCTCCTTAAGGACAGGGACTGTGTCTTTTACCTCCCTAAATCGCTCCACTCTGGAACCAAGATAGAACTCTGCAGAGTATGCCTCTAACATCCACCATCGGCCCTTCTCTAACACAGAAGAGGAGCCTTCATTGTGCAAGAAAACAATTCTTACCCATAGTCCCCCAATTAACTCTCTCAACTCACCACCAGACTCCAATGTACCTTCCGATGAATAGGCACCAGAATAAGGTCTTGTTCAAAGAGATTTACCCCTTTGGTCCATCTTTTCACTGCTTGGTAACCCCCAGACCTTAATTTGGGATAGAAGAAAGTACTAAATGCATGAAGTGCTGGATAGCCTTGCTTTTTATTTCTTTCCACCAGAAGATTCATGTAAAAATTTATGACCTGTAAAACACCAAGAGAGTAAAAGTCAGAACATGGCAAGGAAATGATTGAAACTAAATATTCACTTGAATTAGGTTGAATTAGACGAGGGTAAAAAGACTGGGAAGAGAAGAAAGCAAAGGACAAGCGAAAAGAACTCTGTATGGCAGAAGGTGGAGGGGAAAAGAGCAATTAAGCAAAATGGGAGGGGTTAAGAAGGAATAAAATTATACTTTTGAGGGATATAAGTAATACTTAAGAGAGCCAAGAGCAAACATATGGGTATATGGGTGGACAGATGGGTGGACACGCTGAACTACTAGGTATGTCTATGCAGGGAGAACTGTGCCCAAGACCATGTATAGGGTTGGCAGACAATCGTTCTACAAGTGGATTGTTATGTTCTGTAAGAATTCCCAGGTATATAGTAGAGCTGACAAGGGACAAGGTTGTAGTTACTTCTTTGTCACAGCCAGCTACCCAGAGGGAGTGAGTAGTTGGATCTGTGGGCTCAGGACCATAGTCGCAGGGGAGATCAAGCTCAATTGGCATAACACACTACATAAAACACTGTTCCACCTCCTACTTTGGCAAGTAGCAACTAGGATCTTAAAAGCTTGCAAGCAGCCATCTAGATGCAACAATGAGTCTCTCCTTATCCAGAGCAAAGAAGAATGAAGAAAACCAAAGATTCACAGAAACAATTAATCCAAGCCATTGGTACACCATGCAATCCTCACCCTATACGACTATGAGACCAGAAGACCTAGATGGTGCCTGGCTACCACTGCCATCCACTTGGAAGGGGATCTATGTAGGAGATCCTGGATAGAGTGGGAGAACAATGTGGAATAAAACTCAAAATCATTTGAAAAACAAAAAAAAAGGGACCAGGTTTGCTGGTCTGATAGAGCCTGATGAAACCACTGAGCCTATGGCCCCTAGCTGTCCTTCAGGTCTGGAATTGAACCCACTCCTGTGGCTTCCAGCCAAACAAAAGACAGGCATATGGGCTGAACATTTACCTCAGGTAGATACACTCCTTGGAGAGAACAATCATGGGAGAATAGAGGGCGGTTTATGCACAAGGAGACAGCTCAGAGGTGAGGAGTGCATAGAGGGATGGACATAGGAAAGAGGTAACTATAGGGAGGAAGAGGGAGGGGAGCTGTTGCATTGGGGTAAATCGTAGTCAATGTCTTGAGACAAAGTATATGTGAACTGCTGTATGGAAAGTGAATTTGTTCTGTAAAATTTCACCCAAATCACAATTTAAAAAAAAAAAAGAGAAAGCTAAGAGGGGTCCCACAGGAAAGTCTGTAAAATACTGACAAGGTATATGAAATTGCATTTAGCAGACAAAAAACATGTATAAATTCTAACTGGAAGTGAGTTTTACTATATATAAATTATAGTTCATTATTTATAAATTAAGTAGAAAGAAAGACACTAAAACATTAATATTTTGTTATTTTTTAGTACTTATGAATGGTATTACTCTTTTCCACTTTTCTTGTATAGTCTAAATTTTCTACAATAACTATATTCTATTTGTAACAGGGGAACTCTGGTAGCGTAGTGCCTAAGGCACTTGACTGCTAACCAGAAGGCCAGCGGTTCAAACCCACCAGCCACTCCTCAGAAGGAAGATGGGGCAATCTACTTGTGTAATGATACTGCTTCGGAAACCCAAGGAGGGGTCGCTATGAGTTGGGTCCGAATCAAGGGCACATAACAACAACAACATTTGTAACAGGAAACAAAACATTCAATGGGTTTAGTCAGGGGGGACTGGAGCCTCAATGGGGCAGGCTGTTTGAGATCAGCTGGTAATCTGAAGGTTGAAGATTTGAACCCACCCTCAGCTCTGCAGAAGAAAAGTTGAACAAATTGCTTATGTTAAGATTACAGCCCAAAAAATGCTTCAGCGCAGTTCTGCTCTGTAACACGTGGTGACTTGAGAGCAACAGGTTTGGATTTTTTTATTTTAGTCATGGATGTGTGTGTGCAAAGGGAATAAATACAGGAACTGAGCAGTTAAGGAAAGGACCAATTGGAAAAAAGGCAAAAAGGACTAAGAGCTACTACATCATAGATTCTTGTTATTTTTGGTGATGGGAAAAGTGGTACCAAATGTGAGCGTAGAGAGAACAGTACGACCAAAGTAAATGACACTGCTGAGAAGTACTCATGAGAAAAGGCTGTCTGTACTAAAAAATCTGACATACATAAGAAGGTAAGAATTCCAAAAGAGATCAAAAACCAAGGCTAGGATCACATACAGATGTGTATAGGCATACATGAATATGGGTTAGGTACAAGTGTATACATATGTGAGAACAGACAGAAATGTCTATATACACAAGTAAATACAGATATGTGTGTGCAGACATATATATATATATATATATATATATATATACACAATGAATATGCAACTACAGACACTCCTCAGATATAACCAAACACCTTCTGAGACTGGTTTTCTGAGGTTGAAAGCTTAGAATCACAGTGTCATGGGTCAACTCAGTCAACTGGCATAACACAGTTCACAAAGTTCATGCTCTGCATCCTAATGAAGTGAGTAGCACCTGCGGTCTTAAAAACTTGCCAGCAGGCATCTAAAATACAACCACTGCTCTCTACTCATCAGGAGCAAAGGGGTAAGAAAGTAACCAACATCTCAAGAGAAGATATAAGTCTACAAGGCTGATAGTCTACATAAGCCATGAACTCAACTATCCTGAGACCAGAAGAACTAGATGGTGTTTTGTTACTACCACTGATGGCTCTGACTGAAGTCACAACAGATGATCTTGGTTGGAATGGGAGAAAAATGCAGAACAAAACTCGAATTCTTAAAAGGCCAAACCAACTGGACCACAACTCCCTGAGACTACTGCCCTGAGACACTTTTTAAACTTTGAGCCAAAACTATCTTAAGATACCTTTTAGCAGAAAAGCAGAGTGACACATAAAATAAAGGATATTACCAGTTTGGTCTGTGCTCTACTAAAAAACTATCTGCATGAGTCCAACAGGCCAACATTTAATCCATACCAAAATGAGAAGATAAGAGAGTAGGGAAACTAGAATACTGGAAATGGAACAACCAGAACACAATTAAAGAGAATCATGACACAATATGAAAAATGTAACAATGTCATTGATCAATTTGTGTCGAAACTGTCAAATGGGAACTGATCTTGCTGGATAAACTTTCTCCAAAAACTCAATACAATTTTATTTTTTTAAAAAAAGAACTAAGAGCGATCTTTTGCTAAATATGTAAGGATACAAGATGGCAAATTAAATTAAATAACTTTTTGCAGTTATCACTCCAGTGAACTAAAGAAAAAGATACATATAGTGTACATATCACAACCGATAAATCCTTTCATTACTGAACAGGTTAAAATGGCTCCTATAAGAATTCAAATAAAGTATCATTTGCTGCTTCCTTCCATTCATCGGATGCACCCAGGGTTTATAAATATGTTAGTGAAGACCTGTGATGAAGTTAAATAGAAATACAGTAAATGTCTACACATCATGACTGGCAAAGTGAAAAAAAAGACAACTTACTTCATCATTGAGCCAGTGATAGTTCCTCAAGGTCTGGATGTCACCACGAGTAATTCGCAATTTGAAAGCATTACTAAGGATCTCATCCTGCGAGCCATGGCCTAGGGCATTACTGATTTCTTTTTCCATGTCCTGAATTAGAAAGCCCAGAGGATGCTAATTTAATACCAAACCACTAGATATTAAAAGTCTGAAACTGAAAAATGCTTCACATCTATGAGAAAAATACCCTATCAGAGACCTACTAAATTGAAGTATGAAAATATTTAAACTTAGATTACTAAGCAGTCTTAAAAAACCATTGGAAAAAAATAGGTTCAATTATTAGCTTCTAGAAACAATAAATTAGAAATAATATTTATATTTAAAGTGCAACCTAATTATTCACTCCCATTTATTAAGTACTAGCATTGAGTCAAATGTGGTGCTGAATTCTTTAAGCACATCATTTAATCCTTACTTTTGGGGAAAGTAACACTGCCATTTTATGGAAAAGAAAACCAAAGCTCAGAGAAAATTCAAGTTATATGGTCAAAATCATATAATTATTAAAAGTCAGAGTTAAGATTTGAACTCACATGTGTCAGATTTCCTAGCCTTTGGTCCTTTCACATTACTAAAATCCTTATTTACCTCCCAAACTCAACTTTTATTTAAAAACATCAAAATAATAAAATTAGGACATCTAAAAGGTTGTATTACTGATTTTTGACACAAAGAGAAAAAGGAAACAGGCAGACAAAGGCAGCAGTCTACTAGCAACTGTATTCTTGTTCAATCAATGGCTTCATTATTCTTAGAATTAGGCAGATATGTGTATGCACAGGGAAATAGCTCAGGAGGCAGGAGTGCATGAAGGAAAGGACACAGGGAAGAGGTAACTATGGGGAGGATGTGAAATGGGAGCTGTTGCACTGTGGGAAATTATAGTCAATGTCATGAGACAAAGTGTATGTAAGCCGCTTTATGGAAAGTGAATTTGCTTTGTAAACTTTCACCCAAATCACAATTAAAATAAAAAAAGAAGATGATGATTTAGGCAGATAAATGTATATTTAAGTGACAAAAATGAAATCTGTTAAGTCTCATAGAAATGATTTTTCTACAACTACCTGAATACTGCTTTCCCCACTGCATAGAGTTTGGGTATTTTACGGAACTCTCTCTCCACCTGCATACCCAACACAGAGTAGGTGCTTAAGAGATATTCACCAATGAGGACTCCTACCACACAACTAAGGCAACGATGGAAAAGGAGCCAAGATGTGGGCTACATATTTAACATAAGAATTTTTAACTACCTTCGTTTCCTTGTTTTCTATAAGTTTTTACTATCTTCAAAAGCAATAATCAATGACAAGAACATTTTGATAAACCATAACCACATAGAAAAACTGCAATGAACTTGTTCCTAATACCAAAGCCATATATGTAATTCAACCTATTTGAAGGTTAGGAAATACTCTAAAAGAACTCACCATATGCCATGATGCATGACAATTATGTCTACTCACATATGCAGAAAAGAAAGTGATCTCTCAGGCCACCTTCATGGATCACTAATGATCAGTGCAGCCAAAGTGACTGAACAGACCTTGACCCTGATTTTTTTCATACACCGATCTTTAGCTATGTCAGCCTGGAGAAAGCGCTCAAAATAAAATATTCATTCAAGGCTAGAGTAACTGAGGTTATTTAAAAACATGCCTCTTACTCTGATCAGCACAAGGGACAGTACCTCTGTAAGTTCAAGGAGATCGTCTGTCCTTCTGTCTCTCTCTTTGCCTGAGCAATTCTTTTCTTTCGTCTCAAGTACTGACATTTTCCTCCTGAATAAGCCATTGCTTCCACTGCCCAGGCGGAGTCGGGCTGACACTTCCTCGGATAGGTCAGGCTCCAGCTGATGTCCCCTCCTCTGATCAAAAGAGTTTCTATATTCTATTGACATGTTTGATACTTGCACACATAAACATAAATTACACATGAAATAAACGGTGTCATTATCTTGAAAGAAAAGAGAATTCACAATTCCCCCAAATACAGGAACAAAAAGTAGCTCAAGACATGAGGCTCACAGGACAAATAAATTACAAACCTACCAAAAGAACACTCATCACTTTCCCTGAAGGTATCAAGAAAAGTATTTTCAGTTCTCCCACCCCAATTAAAAGCAGTATGATTAAAAGGCATTTTGAGAAAATTTAAAAAGCAAAAATATGACCCACAATCCCACTGCTAAGAAGAAACCACTGTTATGCTTAAACTAAATAAACTTCTTCTATTTTGTTAATATAGATATATATACAAGGTGGCTATCTCTACAGAAGTTGACCGCCCAATCTTCCTTCCCAGGAATGGCTGGTGGGTTTGAACTGCCAGCCTTCTGGTTAACGGTCAATGACTTAGGCACTATGCCACCAGAGCTCACATATAACACACACACACACACACACACACAGAGTAGAAAAGATACAATATGCTAATAAACCACTTTATTAACTTTTGTAAAATGAACACCTATATAGTGTAACCACCATTCAGGTCAACAAATAGAATTCTGCCAGCACTCCAAAAACCCTAAGAAGACCCTTCCCTATCTTAATGCTAACTAATCCTAAATACTGCATTTAAGTCATTTAGTATGCAAACTATTATAAAATTAAGAAATTTATTTAGAAAGAGAATTTTGCACTAGAACCACATTAGTCTCATCATGCTTCGCCAGTCCTCTTTGCTCAAGTTTACTGCCTGGTATTCTGGTCCGAGGAAACGAGCAGCTGCTGGCTCTCCCTTTGGTCCCAGACAGCAGTCTTTGAGCTCAGCAATGATGGAAGCAGGATGCAGGCTCCACAGCTAGGCTCCAAATATCCCCACTCTATCTGCTCTCTACTTTTACTCCACAAGTGATAAACACTAGACACAAAAGGCACCACTCTGAACCACTGGTAATAAGGAACATCAGAGAAGGAAAAGCCTTGACTTAGCCTTAAGATAATTCTTACCAAGAGGTCCAGTAAGAGAAGACAAATTTGTAGTGCCTCTAAATATTTTATTTCTATGGATCTACAATGTTCAATGACCTAAAACTTCAAGCTTAGAATTAATTTAGCAATATTTCTTTGGGTATGGAATGCTTAGCTAAACACTTTGCCACTGTTATTAAAATGTTTGCGTTGCTATGAAGATCACTGGAACATTTCTTATTCCAATACTTACACAGGAAATGTAGAATCCAGTTCACCACTTAAGAGTGCAATTTTCAAGTAAATCTGAAACCTGGACTTCGAAAACAAAGTTCTGAATATATCGTATCTTTCCCTTCCCTGCTAACTAGAAACCTATAATTTAAAAAAAAAAAAAAAAAACTCTAATTAAAGCCATTCAACAGGGATAAGGGTTGAGATGGAGAAAACTTGGTCTCTCTGACTTTAATTTATAAACCAAGTCACTCCTACATGGAGGTCAAAATCCAGCAGAAAGTTTTATAATTTCAATGTCTGCTGCTTTTCAAAGAAAACAATGGAATTGAAAATGAAAGTAATATATATCATCTTTCTTATTTTTCACAGGCACCAAAATTTTAGCGTAAGTCAGGGGAAGAGTAAAGGAGAAAATTTAACCAGGGTTTCCACTTACACCTTCATTTTCAACTCTAAGGCCAACTATCTTCTCGGGATCGGAAATTTTCCCCTTTGAACATCTGAGGGAAAAAAATTAACAGAGATTATTAACTTTTGCTTGGTAATTTCAGCCTGGTACATGTTAGACTAGTCTTAGAAATAAGATTTAAAATTTTTAAACAAAAATTGACTTAAATTTATATAATCCTCTAAACAGGGGATTGGCAAATGTTTTCTAAAAGGATCAGATAGTAAATACTTTAGATTTTGCAGGCCTTACAATCTTCTCAACTCTGCCATTGAAATGTGAAAGCACCCAAAGACAATATGTAAATGAAAAGCATGACAATGTCCCAATAAAACTTTATTCATAAAAACAGGCAGGCAGGCAAGATTTGGGCCACATGTCCTAGTTTACTCATCCCTGCTCTAAACTACCACCCCAAATCCCAAAGCACGCAGAAATGCCTTAACTATTCCTATACTGGGAGCTCTAGTAGCATAGTGCCTAAGGCACTTGACTGCTAACCAGAAGGCTGGCAGTTCAAACCCACCAGCCACTCCTCGGAAGGAAGGTTGGGCAATCTACTTTCATAGTGATACTGTCTCAGAAACCCAAGGAGGGGTCGCTATGAGTCGGGTCCGACTCGAGGGCACATAACAACAACAACATTCTTATACAAGGATACTGATCACTAAAGATGCCCATCCTACCCACACTTATGTAAAAGGTGACTGCTTCCTCCAAACCATGATGCCTACAAGGAAGTGACACCTTCCCAGGCCTCGGCAGGCATGTGATGCAGAGCTACTTATATACCTACATACTTGTATATAGTTACTTATATATATAATTTATTTAAAAAATAAATTAGAATAAACTGAACCATGTACCTCTTCTCACTTCTCATTGAACACAGAGGTCCCCTTGTTTCAACAACTCTATCTGTGAGGATGGTAAAGAAAAGATTAAAAAAGATTTATTTTATTACAAATTTTTTCCTCTACTGATCAATCATATAGGAAGAATTTCAACTTAGTTTCTAAAGTAACAAGACATTCCTTTACATTGAAATCATAAATTTCTTTGTTCTTGCTCTTTAAATATAATCTTTCGTGTAAATTGATATCTGCTCATTTGGTAAGCTGTCATTTAGTGGAGAATTATAAGAAAATTAATTTTAGGGTGACAAATATTTGCTACCACACAGGTGACTAGGAATGATAATCAAGAAGTATTTTCTGACTCTACTTCTTCTTCAGGGTTGTGCGTCAAGGTTGTATCCTTTCCCTACACTTATTCAATCTATATGCTGAGCAAACAATCCGAGAAGCTGGACTATATGAAGAAAAACATGGCATCAGAATTGGAGGAAGAATCATTAACAACCTGAGATATGCAGACGATACAACTTTGCTTGCTGAAAGTGAGGATGACTTAAGGCACCTACTGATGAAGGTTGAAGAATACAGTCTGCAGTATGGATTACACCTCAATATAAAGAAAACAAAAATCCTCACAACTGGACCAATGAGCAGCATCACAATAAATGGAGAGAAGATTGAGGTTGTCAACGAATTCACGTTGCTTGGTTCTACAATCGATGCCAATGGAAGCAGCAGTCAGGACATTAGATGATGTGTAGTGTTGGGAAAGTCAACCGCAAAGGAACTTTTCAAGTGCTGAGGAGCAAGGATGTCTCCTTGAGGACTAAGGTGTGCCTGACACAAGCCATGATATTTCCAATCACCTTGTATGCACTTGAGAGCTGGACAATGAATAAGGAAGACCAAAGAAGAGTTGATGCTTTTGAGTTGTGGTGCTGGCGAAGAATGCTGAAAGTACCATGGACTGTTAAAAGAACTAACAGATCTGTCTTGGAGGAAGTGCACCCAAAATGCTCCTTGGAAGCGGGAATGGCCAGCCTTCATCTCACCTATTTTGGTCATGTTGTCAGAAGGGACCATTCCTTGGAGAAGGATGTCACGCTCGAAAGGGTGGAGGGTCGACGAAAGAAGGGGAGGCCTTCAATGAGATGGATTGACACGGTGGCTGCGATGATGGGCTCAAGTATAGCAGGGATCGTGAAGCTGGTGCGGGATTGGGCAGTGTTTCGTTCTGCTGTGCATGGGGTCGCTATGAGTTGGAAACGACTCAACGGCACCTAACAACAACAACAACTTCATCTTCAAAGAGCTTTTTTCCTAAATTCCTGGCAATGGACAAGCTCATGTTAATGACTTGATGTTTAAAAATGTTTTAAAAGTTGGTAAACCATCTTTTCACCAGTATGCCATTTTTCAATTTCACATATACTCTCGAACACAAACTAAAGTCAATATGTTAAAACAAGGCTGAATGGTAACTCACACTGTTTTGGAACAAACTGAGTTGTTTTGACTCCATGATTTGGCTCTTCCCCCCAGCCTCTGGTCTTTAACGTGTCCATCTGATTTCTTGGAGAACTTAAGAGATAAAAAAAAAAGGAGGATGATTAGATATAAAATCAAAGTCTACCATCTTCATTACCTCTATTTGGCAAGCATCTACCGAACTGGAGATACTGATGATCCTGTGTGATAGTTAAGTTTGTGTGTCAACTTGGCTGGGCAGCTGGATATAGTATTCCCCATGATGAGACTGCCAACCAACTCTATGGGGGAATCTACTGTGAGCAGCTGAGTAGCTGCAGTAGGAATGTGGTCTGTGAGAAGCCTTTGGGAATGGTCTCTAGCTTATGGCACGCTTGAATGCTGCATGTAGCCGAGTCATTGTTCAGCAGCCTGCCATGTTCTGCTGACCTTGGGACTTTTAATGAACTTGAATTTAATGGCCTGCCATGTGGTTTGGTGATATCAAGACCATGACTTTTAACTTGTCAACCTTGGGTTTGTCAGCCTCAGCAGTGAGCAGCTGAGTGAAGAAAAGCCTCCAGGTTCAGTGGGCCGGGAGCAGGAGGCAGAGCTGAAACCCAAAGTTAAGGAGATTTCACCCAGCCCCTAGAGCCTGGCAC